TGGGGGCCATGGGGCTGAGGTTCAGGGGGATGTGGGTGAGGTGTAGCGAACATGGATTTGGGGTGCTGGGGGACATGGGGCTTGGATACAAGGAGGACATGGGGTACAGGGTACAGGGCCCATGGTGGACTGGGAGGCACTGGGACATGGGGAACAGGCAGGGGGAATATGGGGGCTAGGGTATAGGGGGAAAATGGGAGCTGGGCTGCAGGGGATATGGGGCTACAGTGCAGGGGGGACATGGGTCCCACTGTGGGGAGGGGAGAGGAGGCTTGAGCAGTATGGGGCCTGGGATGCAGAGAGAATAGGGGAGAGGATGGAGATTTGGGGCGGAAGGGCTGTAGGAAGGGGAACCAAGGGGAGAGGGCATAAACAAGGTGTGCTATAGGGGCTGCGGCACGGAGGGGAGGGCTGTGTATGAGGGCTGCTCAAGAAGGTTAGGGGAAGGTGAGTTTGGTTGGAGAAAAGCTCCCTGGCACATTTTGCCTGTGCTTTGTCTGATCAACAGTCTCCGAGTGCTACAGGCCAGTAGGTCTGGGCACCAGGCTGTGCAATGATGCTGGCAGGGGACAGGACCAGCCATGGTCCTGGGCAGAGCCTTACTCTTTGCTCAACACAATCCCTTCAGCAGGCTGAAACCTGGAGTGGGATTTGGCTGGGCAGCAGGAAGCCCTCAGGGCTGGGTGGAAAGTTTGAGCTGGGGAAAGCTGGAGGTTGGAGGGCACTAAGGAGTTGGGGTCTCTCAGCAGCCTTGTGGGCCCTGTTGGTGCAGGTAAGGCATCCTGGCCTTGAGGCATATTCCCCCCGGCAGCCCATCCTCCAGCCACCCTTGTCCCATCTTTCTTGCAGGCAAAGCGCCTGTGCGCTGCACATGGAGCTCTCCGGGAGAGGAGAATCTGGGTATAGTGTGCATGGATGAAGGCATCCCAACTGGAAGTGAGCTCATCACATTTCCCCACACTTCCCTGACATCATCGTCCTCCTCGGCCACAGCTGACGCACATGGGGGTGACTCGTGGGCATGGTCCTGCAGGAACACTGAGCTCATCCCTGGCTCCATCTGCAGCATACACTGGTATCTGGGGCCCTCCAAGCACTGCAGTGCTCGGAGTTGGGCCCTGCACTGCAGACCAGACTGTGGCCTCATCTGGGACAGCCCTGCCAAGACCATGGCTTTGGAAGCAGAGCGATACTGGGGGGGGGCTCTGCCCTCCTGGTTCCATCCAGCCCTGCTCCTGCCTCATGTCCTCGAGCACAGAGTACCCCAAGGGGCTTCCTTGGGTCCCAGTACCCCCACATACCTTTCCCTCCTGGCTCTGCTGCAAGGAGGAACATCTGCGCTGGGCCCATCTCTGCCAACCTGCCTCTCTCCAGAGGGCACTACATCTCCTCGGATGGCTGGAGTGCAAAGTCCAGGCTGCTAAGTTGGTTTGGGAGAGGTTATCTTTGACAGAAAGCAAGCCAGACAGCCAAGGACCCGGGGATGCAGGGGCAGTGCCCCCTGAGACAGAGAGTCCCTGAACTTGATTAGAGTATGACCATGTTTGCCCTGTCCTACACTCACCCAGAGCTCATGCTGCTGTCCCCAAGGCAAAGACTATTCAGAGTTGAATCAGCCTCTCGGAGACAAAAATATCACCTGAATAAGTGATTTCACCTCAAGCCAGCACCTCACCAGCGACACATTAGAGAAGAGCCAGGAGATGGCAGAGGCCAGGCCAGGCTGAGAGGTGTCACGGCACAGACGTTTGGGCTGTCTGTGTCTGCTCCCAGAGCCATTTCTCTGCCTCTTCTCAAATGCAAACCCTGCTGAAGCCCCCAGAGAGCTGCTCTGAGACCAGCGTGGCTGCAGGCAGCCTCTGCACAGAGCCTGGCTCTGGGGCAGAGATCTCTGCCTCATGCAGGGACTGCAGTGAAGCCTGTGGTCTGTCCAGGAGCAAAGTGGTCTGTGTTTCCTTTGGAAGAGGATAGGAGAGCCCAGCTGGAGCGGAAATGCATAGATGCTCTGATCCTGTGCAAGATGCTCCCCAAAGGAGCTAGTCCTGGCTCCAGGGTCATACAAGAGCTCTGGGGGGAAAGATCTGTCCCCTGTGAGAGACATCTGTCAGCTCTGGGAACTCAGACAGGATGGCTGGGCCAACTGAGGCCCTCAAGGTTAGCCTGCTTTGGTATGGGGGAAGAAGAGGGATAGGATGTTACGGGAGGCAGAGGCAGGAGGGCCAGCCCACGTGCCAAGCAGGTGTGGGGTCACACATGAAAGGCAGGGCACAGCTGAGGTGAGGACACCAGGCATCTCTGGACCTCAGGGGTCTCTTTCACAGATGGCCTGATCTCAAGCCAGGAGAGATCCATCAGTGGGAACAGCCTTGTGCACAGCAGTGGCCAGGGCTTCCTGGCAGACTCAAGCCCAGGGGCTGCCAGGAGCCCAGGAGTCACAAAAATTGGCTGGAGATGTGGGGCTGAGGGAGGACTCACTGGCCTACCAGCGACAGCTAGCGCAGCCCCCGCCTGACCCTCCTTCCCCCGCCAATGAACGGACAGGCACAAAGTGCACAGCAAAGTGGCACGTTTCTTTGGCTCCTGGCTCCTCATTTCCGTGGAGCGGCAGCCCAGATCACGTCACCCGTCTCTGCCCAGCGAGGCTGTGGGATCTGCCCTTAGCCCCTGGTTGGGATGCACGAGTCAGGAGCAATTTCGATGGGGATGTCCCCCAGCATTGGTTTCCTTGAGCCCTGCAGGGGATGTAGCCAGGTGGGCAGGGGACACACCAATCCCCAAGGCAGCAGGCAGGGCCGGGTGCTGGGGTGCCAGCCTGGTCAGGGACTCCCACGCACCGCGGACCTGCCTGGGGCTGAGCTCTGCCGAATGCCCTGTGCCCCCCCTGCTGGCAGAGAGAAGGGAGATGTGGCAGGAGCAGGGCCAGAGGGGGAAGCAGGCATAGCATGAGCAGGAGGAGGATGGGGCAGGGAGCAGGGAAGGGTCACCCCAGAGGCCTGGAGGTGCCCCACAGGGTCCTGGGCAGGTTGGTGTGGGGCATGGCCATAACCACGGGGGCCAGGGAAAGGGATCCTGCAGGGTCCGCAGGTCTCATCCCAGGCCCCTGCTGCCACCCTGAGCCCCCCTGCATGCTCCTGCTCAGCCCCACAGTCCCATGCTCTGCCTTCCCCAGACCCTGTCAGCCCACAACGTGGCTGGGCACCCCAGGATGTGAGCACCTGCATCGCCCCAGCCCACTCCTCGCACCCTGGTGCAGGGCAGCGGGGCCGGTGCCATGCCCAGGGACCCCTGCCCAGGGGAGCTGAGCGCTCCTCGG